TTAGGATCCCCTGACAGTCTAATTTTAAGTGACAAATACAGAAGGAGGCCTCTTTTTTTCACGCGTTGAAGTGAAAATAAAGCGAGGAAACTATACGTGAAATAACTTAAAAAAAAGGTCAGCTAGTAAGTTAGCCACCGGCAGTCGAGCGGGTCGCGCGTGAATAATGTAAGTTTGACCTGCACGAAGGTAGAGCTTTGCTCAGGTCACGGTTGAAACAGAGGCCAACAAGCGCCGGCCGTTCATTAGCCATCGATGATTTTCAATTGTGTGTCGATCATTCATCATGAATGAATTATAAGACTGCGCGTGAACAACCGATCATTGGCTGCTATCGTATTTACCTTGCAGTATGCAGTGAGTGAGATCAGGTACTGTGGATGATTTTTTTCGATGGTCTAGACGGTTCTTTGCTATTTATTCCCTTAAAAATTTTTAAGTCCTAAGTAAGTAACTCAGCAAATGTTAACCTAAATAATTTAAAGTTAGTCATATGAGTCACCCGATTGCTATACTTGAATTTTAGAACGCTAGGAACTAATCGCGATTTTCTTTGCGTGTTGCGTCTAACTCGCAGAAATGTTTAAGCCTTGAGGCAGAATAACTTAACACACCGTGTTTTCGTATGCTGATTAGTGAGGTACCTTACTTTAATTCCTTACAGTTATTCGTCCTCAATAAATTGTTAAATTTGTCATATATCATTTTATTAATTATTGTTCAATGATGATGCAACTGCGAGATTTATTTTATGAGTTTACAAGTAATGTATAGGTGTTCAAATAACTTAGTTTATTGCTGGCTTGGTGTTTATTAAATTGAAAATATATTTTTTGCTGAAGTCGAAAATAAGATACTTCCTACTTCGTCTCACGCACGTAGAAGAAAGTTCAATTCTCTCAGAATCACAGTCATATTTTCGATGTTATTCGAAGTTTGAAACTTGATTCAGGAAATTTTCAATTTTCACTTGGCGTTACAATGGATAGCGCCTAGTAAAACTTGTGCGCCATTGTCACGGCGCATGTCCCAAAGAAGCTCAGGTTGGTTGTCCAGACTTTCAATTGAAGGCGTTGAGCGACAGATTCAGTTCGCTTCGAAAACTTGATACCATCCAAGCTATAAAGTCATGTTTTTGGTCACGTAAATCTATTTTATTATAGAGGAATGGATGTCTTATTCAAAAGATATGCACCGATAAAAAATTGTGTTGGTAAAAGTTATCGTGGAATACATGAACGATACCTGAAATGAGTAAATTAGTGAATGTCGACAGATAATTGTTGGGTCCAATGCCGAGCACCTAAATCCATAATTTTCTTGGAGTTCTATTGGAAATTATTTCACCCGACTGAAGTTTTAGTAAATTTTGATTTTGGTTTATGTATGAATCTGCATAATTCCGGCACTCACAATCATTCCCATCACCTTAAAAAGTTGTGAATGCTAATCACAAATATTGTAATGTTATTTCATATACAAGAAGTAATATATAGCGATTTCGATGGTTCATTCAGGATTATATGTAGCGAATAACATTCACCAGGTTCAATGTTTTGCGATGATGAGATGGTACGACTGGAAATGCGATTTGCATGAAGAAACTATGATGCAGTAATTTTTTTTTGCTACGACCTTTAGCTCACGTGAAGTCATACTTTTTGACATCACAATCGCTTCCAAAAAGTGACTTTGTTCGTAATTTGATCTAGGCAATAAAAATAAATACTTACGTTAATTCCTTCATCTCAATTATGATCACGATTCATCTTAACTTATGCTTTCATTAATTTACGAAATTAACGAATGTAGCAATTTATATTCATAATATAAAACGAAAAATTCAAATATTAACCGCTGTATTTCACCAATGATTATGTTATTGACGCTCCGGTTGCTGTGGTTTTCAACTTTGAAGTACCGCAGCTTGTCTTGCGAGTTACTCGAGTGTTATACCGTACGCCTGACCCACTAGTTTTCTCGGTTAATATTCATTACCAGTCTTTACCTACTGGAATAATTATTTAAGTTCGTTCGAAATTTGCTCCGACCGAAAAATTGTTTAATTTTACATAATACCATGCTAAACCAGCATATTACTTTTTGGGTATATAAAATTCTTGACCCTGACAGTGCAGAAGATATTCTAGTCTTTCCCTAAGTCAGTCATCACCAGAAGTGTGGTGAAGGGGCGATGTGCACAGAAAGGTTCAGCAGGTGTATAAGGCGGCAGATGTTGAGGCTTTTGATTTAGGGAAAAGTAGGCGTAAATAACTTGCTGAAGGCTGTGGATATCAAGCTTTGGGAGGTGAAGGAAGAATATTATCGAAATGTGTAGGTTGGTTTGAAGGCGTGCGGTAGTGCTTCCTAGCTACGGGTGACTTCGTTTTATGGACAATTAAAAATGCACCCGTCAGGTTTCCTTGGCATGGACCTGTAAGAACAAAAATATTTTTTATCCTGAGATATATAAGCTACGGGTCAGTTGCGCCGTGTGTTCTGAGGTCATCCCGAAGCTCAACAAACATTCAGGGACCAGAGTCAACGGAAGTCCTTCCGGAACCTGTAGGAACATGCTTTACTGCATTTCCCTAAATTATGCCTCTCAGTTCACTTGACCTTCGCATGAAGTGAGGAAAGTCCCACTTAGACTTTGTTGAAATTAACAAATGTGCGAACTGGCCGTGGGGCTGAGCAAGTGTATAGCGTGTTAAATAGATCGAGATGGCGAGGTAGTCGGAGTTCATGGTGCACGCAGCGCACGCAGTTCAAGGTCGCTGTTCGGATGTTCCGATGCCTTCACGGTTTGGCACCTCCTTATCTCAAGGAAGGTCTGCAGAGCTTGTCGGATCTGCCTTCTAGAAAACGATTGCGATCGTCATCAACAGCGGACCTCGTCGTACCTACTACACGTCTATCTACCGTCTGCGACGCGACCGAGTGTTCCCGGTCGCCGCCGCCAGAACCTAGAACAGTCTTCCGGCTTCTGTAACTTCGTCTCCTTCGTTGCCAGGGTTTCGTCGACGCATAAAGACTGAACTATTTCGCGGAGCCTAAGAATCTAGTGCTTAGTCATTTTATCCGTTCTCATCCTTTCTTGTGTCTATTTATTTTTTGCTTGCTATTTATCTTATGTGTGACGTGCCTTCGAAGTTATTTTGAACCAGACGCCACGCTAAATTTTTCGTAGAATAATGATAATAATAATTAGGGTGATTAAAAGGGTGTTGGCTGTGTCGAGCAGAATATCTGCGCTGATAATGGCATGAGATCAAATGAAGATGCAGGACCTCGGGAAGGACGGCGGCTCGATGTGTCCTCAGTGAGGGTACCGAAGAGAAAAGTAGAGAAAATATAATCAATAATGATCCTAATCGCCTCTTCTTTTTGAAGTTATGAAAAGAAGGGTGAAGAGCAGTGGTGATCGTTAAAATCGCTACAATGAGGAAGTCACCAGTGATGGTGAATAAGTTCAGTAATTAAAATGAGTATTCTGGAGAGCGGGAGGATTTATAGCTTTATATTCATGAGGGAATAACCATTGGATGAAAGTGAACGATCTTCCTCACCTTTCAGTGTGTTCGACGTTTGCGAAGCAAGGCTTCTGCCGTTTGTCTTCACCCTTAGAGTCCGCCAAGAATCCAATCGAGAACGCAGTCCGGGGGTACCCCGACCAAGACGCGACAGAGATCGAGAGCACAGAAGTCTCACGCAAGTCACTTGTTGGCTGTATCCTGGTGGAAGTCTAGTAGCTATTTCAAACTATGGTCACTTTCGAAGATCTGGTCAAAGGACCTGTATTCAGATCACCTGTGAACAAGGCACGAAAAGTACAGGAATCGGTGACAGGCCACATCAGGTTTATTCTTCAGCGCCGATAACTCTATGATATACAATAATTATAATAGTTCAGCGTTTATTAGGCCTGTCGCCGATTCTTAACATCGCGGAACATTCACAGCTTGTTGAGGTGTCGAACTCGCAACTCACTGCTGCAATAATTATTCTGCTGTGCTTAACCACCCGGCCTCCTCGCCGATTCTGACCAGAAACTGGAGCACAGCTGGGATCGAACCCGCGCCTCTCTGCTCCAATCATGGTACTCTGAACTGTAACCACAGGGCCACCATGCCTTCTGATATGATATGATATGATATATGATAGGATATGATATGATATGATATGATATATGATATGATATGATATGATATGATATGATATGATATAATATGATATGACAAATCTATGCGACAACATTTCTTCTCGCTTTGAGTCACCGAAATGTGGAAAAGCCTCTCTGAGAGCATCGTTGACGCTCCGAGTATGAACGCCTTCAAGAAAAGGCTAGACGAAGCTATGCAGGAGCATATGTTCAGTCTTAAAATGCCTAGCAAATTACGGACCAGCAGATATCTCAATCAATCGTCAGTTATGGAAAGATCGGGTTCCAAAAGCCGAACCCCTTGTGAATCAAGTCGCTAAAAATTCAAGAATCGGCATTAGGCCTATTTCTTCAGAGCCGACACTTCTGTTCTATTCTGTTCTATTCTATTCTATTCTATTCTATTCTATTCTATTCTTTTCTATTCTATTCTATTCTATTCTATTTGATATATATAGCCTTCATGCGGAGACAATGGTGAGGAAGCATTTTTCTGGAATTTGAATACTAGAAAAAAAATTATTGGATACCATACCGAAATGTTTTTGAATGTTTTATGTCGCTAAGTGAGTAAGTCACTAAACACTCGCAAAAATTAAAGGTCATCAAGCCGTATCAAACTGGAAAATTATGTTTCATCAACAATAAATTTTTCTTTCTCGTGCATCCCGGTGAAAATTGGCAGTACCGTTAAAGTGCGCCAAAATCCTTCAGTATTCATTCACCATAACTGGAACCGAATGCGCCTAATTTTAACTTTGTACATACATCATTGTTTTAAGCAAGTTTTNACATCATTGTTTGCAACTTTATTTCAACTTTATGGTGCTTCATCGCTGACAGAAACAGGTATCTAGCATACTACTTGCATCGAAAGTATAACTATCTCGTTTTTTTACCCACGGTCGTATTTTAGAATAAACTGTCGGAAGCGCGGTCCAAACTGTTCGAGTTATCATCATTACTTTCTCATTCCACAATAAGAAAAAGAGCCTGTGAAAGAGCATCAATAAAACTATATGTTCAGTTAAAAGTTATTCGGGCATTCTCTCCTCATAAACCAGAAAAGAAGGTGAAGTGGACAAAAAATTTACAAGCTAAAGAAAACGGATGAATGGTTGCATCTGAAAATATTCGAAGACCGTTAGTGGAGCAGGAGTTGAGACCGTTATGTGTGAAGGAGGCTACGTGTCTGGTATCAACGGCGTGAGTTCAAGCGACGTCAAAAGAAATGAATAATCACAGCCGCAGTAAGTGCTACTGTCTGGTTCTAGTACTTATAATGAAATTCATGTTTCGTTTCATTTTCTCAATTATTTTATTTTTCACCACCAGCCTGCCAGGCCCTGCCTGAGTGAGCCTGTAGCAGTGTAGCCTGTTCAACCTTGAATTAAAGAGTTTGCCAGGCCCACTCTGGCTCAGATCTTCAGATTTATGAGTTTTAATGCCCAGCTGCTTCTGCTGAGAAACTATACAATTGAGAACTCTTTATAGCCTATATTCTTTCAATAAATTTAACGCCTTCAGAAATTTTATTTTTAAATTTGTGTACTGTGTACCAGAGTAACCAGACTCACTGTACCTAGCTAGTGACTTGACTACAATGGAAACAGTTTGTCCACTTTTGATCCTCCTTTTCATTTATAGTCACTCACCTGACAGGCTGACAGACTGCAGAGCACTGTATCTAGGGAAAGCATTCCACCTTGAGTGGAAAGCTTTTTTATAAGTGAACCTCCATTTCTAGAATTCCACCCTGTATAATTATAAAACTCGAGTCACTTGAGGTACTCAAGCCACTTGAGTACCCTAGTGACTATCAGTGACTCTATCACACTAGGTAGCCTAGTGTGACTGTGTGACTAGGTAGCGAGTGTCACTAGACTAGTGTCAGACTTTTGGTAGTGAATGTGTAGTAGGTTGGGTTAGGTTAGGTTCTAGTGTACCAATTGCAACTTGCAAGTGGACCAATTAGGCTACCATTGAATTTTTTATTTTTTCAATGATGTTATCATAATTATGTCAAATTGTCATTGACTCTTTTGTTGCCACTTGCTCTTGCAATCACTGAATCAGCACAGCAGATACTGTACCTAGTTGTACTAAACTAAACTCATTAGGTACCGTAAAATGGGGTAACTTAGACCGGCGGGGTAACTTAGACCACTTTTCGTTTTTTTAACAAAAACCCCCACAACTCAAAAACTATTTGACATAGAAAAATTTTGTCAATGGGATAACATTGACCGGTTTGGAAATTAAGTTAAAATTACCATATATAAGACTGTAGAGTCTGAAACATAAAGAAAAAATCATTAATAGGTGTATCAAACATAAAATATGTTATATAGGTACCTATGGTAATTTTAACTTTATTTCCAAGCTGGTCAATGTTACCCTGTCACGGCTGCCATTAGGTAGTCAAAGTTACCCCATTGGGGGGTGGCACCCCCCATTTGCAAACTATGACACTTTTCTGAAATTTGTCTTTTGCATATATAACTAGAAGAGTTCTACTACAATGCATCAAAACCTGGAGTTATTTTACCAAAAAATAAAAAAATTGGAGGGGTACTCCGACAAGCTTTAAATAATACCGTAAAATGGGGTTACTTTGACCGGCAGGGTAACTTTGACCACTTTTCGTTTTTTAACAAAAAACGCAAAAACTCAAAAACGATTTGACATAGAAAAATTTTGTCAATGGCCATCAAAGGCCTAATGCTGAGGCTACGTACCACATTAGAAAGATTTGAAAAGTTTGCATATCTAATAGGTTAAAAAATTAATGTGACCCACGAAAAAGAGCTATTACCTACCATATTTAAAGTCTGTCAGAGTAGCCTCTCCAATTTTTTTATTTTTTGGTAAAATAACTCCAGGTTGTGATGCATTGTAGTAGAACTCTTCTAGTTACATATGCAAAAGACAAATTTTAGGAAAGTGTCATAGTTTGCAAATGGGGGGCGCCACCCCCCAAAAGGGGAACTTTGACCACCTAATGGCAGCCGTGACGGGGTAACATTGACCGGCTTGGAAATTAAGTTAAAATTACCATATATAAGACTGTAGAGTCTGAAACATAAAGAAAAAATCATTAATAGGTGTATCAAACATAAAATATGTTATATAGGTACCTATGGTAATTTTAACTTAATTTCCAAGCCGGTCAATGTTACCCCATCACGGCTGCCATTAGGTAGTCAAAGTTACCCAATCGGGGGCAGCGCCCCCCATTTGCAAACTATGACACTTTTCTGAAATTTGTCTTTTGCATATGTAACTAGAAGAGTTCTACTACAATGCATCAAAACCTGGAGTTATTTTACCAAAAAATAAAAAAATTGGAGGGGGTACTCTGACAGGCTTTAAATAATAGCTCTTTTTCGTGGGTCACATTATTAATTTTTTAACCTATTAGATATGCAAACTTTTTAAATCTTTCTATTGTGTTACGTAGCCTCAGCATTAGGCCTTTGATGGCCATTGACAAAATTTTTCTATGTCAAATCGTTTTTGAGTTTTTTGGTTTTTTGTTAAAAAATGAAAAGTGGTCAAAGTTACCCCGCCGGTCGAAGTAACCCCATTTTACGGTACCTTGGTATTTGAAAATAAAATTAGAAATTCATTTTATGTGTTTAACATCAGAGACACTGGCCTCTTTAGAAGTGTTGTCTCTGAAAAGTAATTTTTAATGCATATTATTTAGACTCATTCTCAAGTTTGTTTTTTGAGTCATTGAGTAGACAAGTAAAGTATCATTGATGCTAGCATTATCATACACAAGATATTGGCTTAAATTTTGAGTAGGAGAGGAAATTGAGGAAATATAGATTCAAAAATTACCTTTTAAAGACAAAATTTCTAAAGAGGTCAATGTCTCTGATGTTAATCATGCACAATTATTTTCCTATTTTATTTTTAAAGATTGAAAAAAAATTATTTATACATTTTCTAACATATAAAAAAAAATCATTTAAAATTTTTAAATTATTTCTTCTGTCAATTGATTCATGCTTTGTCTACAACTTTACACAAGTGTGCAAAATTTCAGATCGATTGTGCAGGTAGAAGTGTGTTAAATATTGATTAAAAGATTTTATATCAGACAAGCAAACAAAAAACAAGTGAAGTTAAAGAAAAGTATTGTGAAAAGAACTGATTCATAAAAATCTGTGAAAAGAAATTATTCTTAAAAATCTCTCGTTTGACACTGGCATTGACTACAACTGGGCTAAATATACATACCGGTAGTGGTACATTATTCACCCAGCCATCAGATTTAGTCTGTTGCATTTGATAACCAAGTATACAGCATTAATTGCCTCTGGGCTCAACCCATTTTACATTTGGAAATAACTGCTTGATACAGTATGAAGATTTTAAACCATCAATTTATTATTCGAAACACCAAATGAGCTTTTAATGTTGTAGGTATTGTTTTAATTTATCATATAAACAAATCATGCATTTGCAGGTGTGTCTGCTGCTCTGGACATGGTTGAAGCTGCTATCAGCTCCTGGGAAAGGCAAGCAAAAGCAGCAAAAAATTTTCAAGAGCAACAACTTCAACAACAAAAACTTCTAGAAGAATTGCAAGATCTGAGTCACCAGAATGTTACTCACAGAACTGGCAATCCATCAAATTCACTGAATATTCCAATAAATTATCCAACAAGTGAACAGATTTCAAGTAATAGATTAGTTAATGAGGCTTCTCCTTTGAAACCTAGAAAAATTTTTTTAAATGATGAAAGTTTGAAAAAAAATTCTGTTGAACACCATAGAAGTCCTATACACAAAAGTAAGGATCTACATCATTTATCTTGGCAGATATTTTCTTAATTTTAGTTTATTGCCTGAGTACAGTATCATTCAAATTTTAAGTTGATATCATAATCAAAGACAAATTTTTGATTGAATTGAGTTATTCATTGATCTGAAGTTATTCCCTAATAAATTTTCACAATTTAACTGCATTGATTGCTGACTTCATCAAAGAAATTCCTGAAGGTCTGATAATAAATTAAAATGCATTTCCAATTTTGATGCTTCAAACAGGAATTGAATGAAGAGTAATGTATACCTATAATTAAATAAAATATTAAGTCTTGCAGATTCACTGAAATATTTTTGAACATAGGAATAAAAATATCAAAGCATATTATGCAAATATATACAGACCTATGAATTGAGTAAAAAATTAACTCTATAAGAAATAATTTCTATTTATAAAGTAATTGAGAGTATGGCTCCATTTTTACACTATTCTCTTCTATAATCCCTGATGCTTTTTACCTAGACTGGTATTATTTTCAGAGTCCAGGGACAGCAAAACGTTGGTGTCTTCTGTTCCCAGTGTGCTACTGCATGCCAGAGGCTCCTCTTCTAGGAAGGTAATTCACTCCCAACTTATAACAGTCTGTGTCTTATGTTATCATGTGTATAACTCCTCCCCCCTCAAAAAAATATGTATAGGTATTCATCTTCATTGATAACGTATATACCTATGGTACTACGGTAGTTGAAAAAAGTTCCATCCTCATGGATAGAAGGTAGTAGTTGAGAAAACATGGCAGCTGACTATCTCCTGTGCTTGCCCTGAATATTTTTACTAATTGGGAAATATTATATATAATTTCATGTCTCATGTACGTATTGTTTATTTTTGGTATCTTCTGCAATTATATAGGTACTTATATTATCATAAACTTAAAGATACTGAAAAATGGTGATCTTCATAAGATGGCACCTTTGTTACCTGTTGCATCCATATTGAATTCATTTCTATTTGGTTTTATTATGTTCAGAAATGTCGCATACGATCAAGCAGTAAACATCACCATCGTCGTCACCGCCACAGAAGTTCATCACATTCAGGCAGCTCAAGACGAGAGAAAAACAACAATGATGTCACAGCAGAAAGTATGACGGAGTTAGAACCAAAGCAACACCAAAAATCCGATGAAAAATTCCTGGTGAAACACGCGTCTAATGGATACGCTCAGGCCACCCTCTCATCTAAGCTTAAGGAAAAACTTGATGAGAAACCTGGGAAGAAAGAAAAGGTTTCCTCCTTACCTTTCGTACCTGTGGGTAGCCAGGTAAGAATTTTGATGCATTTGCCTTGTACCTATTCTCTGGAGCTAATATTTTGTTACAGAAATTATTGATTATATGTATGTGGTTGTATTTTGGCTAAGCGTCTGAAGACTGAAAAATCTTGATTGCGTTTTTAAGTCAGTTTATAATCAAAAAGCTGTTGGTTTTTGGATGCAGACATGGTTGAAAGACTACTTGTTTAAAAATTATATTATTTATACCTTCTAAAATATAAGTCTATGTTATTAACCAGTTCCATTTATCACAGGGTAAAAGCTTCCATGTCGGCATCATCATCCAGAAAGAGTTGGGAAAACTCAAGTCGCAGCCTCTCGATGTTTGGGCTGCAGCAAAACAGAGTAATTCATTATATTTCCTCAATTATGTTCTTTTTGCATAGTTTCATTTTATTCACGTATTTTGTCCGACGTCGTTGGTATCTTCAATAATATAATACCTCCCATCATTGGGAATTTTGTTTTGTTCTTTCTATATTCGCTATTCTTGTTTCTAATATGATTATTGTTATTAGGTACTACTAGGTACGTTATTACAAGTTCGCCAGGTGTAGTTAATTTTTTTTTTGCAGCTCAAATAACCTCCGAAGCTGCTATGTTATTACTATTAATGAGTACCTACATATAATCACGTTACCCTGACATTTCTCTTGGTTGCATTGTACGTGTTCGAGATGTTTCAGGGTTCATGAACTGGATGGCTAATTATATACGGCACTATTTCAGATGCTGCACGGAAAGAAGCTGAGGGATCAGAATCTGCGTCTAACATACTACGGCGTGAGCTAACTAAGTCATAATATTGTTGATGTGAAACTAACATCCTCATTCGAAAAATGTTGAGACCACTGTGGTAGACCTTTTTATGATGAAGCCTTTTCTCCTGGTACAGCTTTTTTTAATTCTTACATTTTTGATAAAGAGTTCTAAATTGAAGCGGCAGCTGAATTGAGTAATTTATCTTCAATTTGGTTTCAGATTAAGGTAGAATCCAGCATGTGGACTTGAGTTAGGACTTTTAACTTTGTAAATGTAGGTTAATCCTCACTCTGAAGGACTGTACTATTTGACCAGAGCTTTTATTGACATGGCTCCACAGAACTGTGGTTCTGATCATTTCGTGCTGGGTCTGCGCTCATATTAGTATCTACCGTAATGATGCTTAATGCCCCTTATTATATGTATTCCTGTGGACGACGCCGAGGCAGCTCCTAAGTGATGTTTCTGTGATCCTTGTCCAGATATTCTTTAATTGCTAGAACTGTTAAGAGTTTAGTATCGTTTTGCCCGAGGCGTCACAAGCTGTTATTTGGAAGTCCTCATCGATATTCAAGTGCTTCCCGTTTTTTGACTATGAGGAAAAATTTATTCAGTTATTATCCAAATTGCATATTGTTAGGATATATTGTTCTCGCTAATCGTTCTTTGATGTAAATTTAAACTTCAAATCTTGTCATGGTTTTAGTGCGGTGCTTAATTATATTGAATACTCATATTGTTGGTGCTTGAGACATCAAACGACTCTATCATTATTATCGTTATCAAACATTTAATGTCGTAGATTTAACCAGAACAAAGTTTTTAGCCTGAAGGCTTTCTCTTTTTTATCTGCCATGTCATTTGATCCATTAGAAATTTTACCAAAATCTTTGACTGCTATAAGCAAGTTTGAAATTTTATCTTTGTTTGTCATCTTAACCGGCTACCTTTAATGTATAATCATGTTCTGTCTGTCTGTAAAGCACATGTAGTTACCATGTAGTTACCAACAACCACGTGTTGGTAACTGCTTGAGAATTTTCGCAAATTCTGAATTAATACACTCGTTCACGCGTCCACTATTGTCTTTTAGTTTTTTAGTCGTATTTTCATTTCAAGTTTCTAAATGCTTTGTACGATTCAGTTTGAAATTATTCATTGAAATGCCAGGTTCAGGTCATAAATTTTTAATTAGTTTGTTTCCACAGCGTCAACATGCTGTCTAAACATATTTTTTGGCACAACTCTTTGCTTTCTTCCCAAGCGCTAGGCTTCCCGTGATACTGTTATACTGATACAACTGCTCAGGACTCCTGTGAGATTCTTAAGGCTTTATACTGTGCTCATAATGGGTTCGTGATGGTGTGATTGTCTTAGAGGGCACCCGTGTCCATTTGTTTAACATGTTGGAACGAGTCTTCACGGTCAATTGATCTGTAGCATTGTAAAGAGTAAGACGAGGGGACATGTTGTGAAGGGTTAAGACGAGGGGACATGTTGTGAAGGGTCAAGACGAGGGGACATGTCGTGAAGGGATAAGACGAGGGGACATGTTGGTGGCATTTGTTTAGTCCTCAGATCCTGATGAGAGGTTTTGTGCTACTTGCGATCCCATTTTACTCAATGCTTCTTTTTACTCAGCCAATATCGTTCATTTCTGCACCTTTTATCTATGAACGATCATTGGTTACAGTTGCAAGTGTTGTGTTGGACTTGGCGGAGTTGAGTTTTTCTGTGTATAAGCTTCATTTGCACCATCGGTAGCATGTCCTTGGTGCAGTATTTTAATTATATTTTCTCTTTTAGTTTGGAACGAATTGTGTTCATCTGGTGTAAATTTCGTCTTAGAGGGAACACAATCAGTCAATTGGCGAAGCTTACAGAGCTTAATCGTTTTCTGAGGTAATGAAGTTGATATTCGGAGACCTCGGACGTTCATAAGCCTTTAATGATGCGAAAGCTAAACTCTTCAATTATGATTTGCCAATGAAGAATGAGTGCGTACCAACTTAGTCGTCTAACTTGCGATGTTTGTAATTTGTTCGTAGCACATTTTCTCCTGCTCTTTTGCTTTGTAAAAGATATCTTCGTAGTGTTAATTGTATTGGCCTACTCCGTATTTGGTGCGATGAAGCCCATCGATTTTAAGTTTTGTACACTGACCATAAATAACCCTTAATTTACTGATCTGATCTTAGCTCTAGTTGCATGTATGAAATATATAGATTTTTTTGTAGACTATTTTTAGTTTGTGATCAGAGATCACGTAGTGCTCATGCGACGAGATGCAAAACTCAATTGATGCTGTTAGTATGGGCTCTCCTTGCATGTCTCCCAGCTCCATTGAGGAATGGTTGTGTTGAATTTCAGTTTAGCATAATGTGGTTGTTGTGATCTGAAGTAATTTCTGTATCCTAGTGTGTGTGGTAACGAGGACCTGTAACTTCTACTCCAATCGTATGTTGGATAAGAATTGGAATGGTTGACGTTCTCAGGTGTGAAACCCATAATGTGCTGTGTAAGTAATGTATCCATGCAAGTTTGTGCCTCTGAACTCAGTTCGATCATTCATTTATTTAATTAATGGTGATGTTTGCCATCGAAATTTATAACCACTCATGCCACAACTGAGAGCTCAATTTTTTCCGTGACGTTCTACGTATTCATGGAATGAATTGTGTTCGATGCGTCTGATGCTCGGCACATTACCGCACTCGAATATAGTAATGAAGGTTTCGAGGTTGTGCGGCTGTTTGCCGAGCATGGAGTCCACTTGCAAGCCGGAATATGCAGACGTTTCCTACGCCCTCGACTGTGTCTCTCACGCGACTCGTTCTTCCCATTCCTCATACTTAGTTCGTATGAAATATCCTATATAATATATGTTATTCCACTGTTGGCTGTAATGAACATGAAGTGACAAACCTACAATTTGTGCTCCTGTGTTCGATCGTGTACAAAAAGAACCTTGGGTTGAACAGCTTTTTGAACGCCATCGACTGAATGGGAGACTTAAATTTTAATGGTTTAGAATAACTGTTTAATTTTTGCGTGAGCCCTATAAAATTATTCCATGAATGCTCGTTTCGTTTAACAATCTTAATCCAATTCTGGTAATTAAAAAACCTTCCCCTGGTATATTCGCCAGCGCTGATGCATTAGACAACCTTATCCTGTAGGAGTAAATAACGAAAGCATCTTCTATCGTAGTGCATAATTAATTGCCAGCTGTAAACTGAATACAAGATTCCATTCCTTCTCGCAGTTGCGATTTCATTGCTCGGCAATCCTGCGCTGAGTTACCGGCCCTAAAAATTAATTTGAAAGCTTTTGTTCATTGGCGAGAATTTTTGGGGGTGAACCTCGGTGTTGGTGAATATGATTTATCATTCGATTATTCTGGCACGAAACAACTACATATCTTACTCGTCTCCTTTCATAAATAGTATATCTCTCTGAACATAAAGTATTCTATGAGCACTTCTGTCGGCAACCCCCTATTATTTAACCCTCTTGCTGCTACCCTGGTAACCCATCTACCACCTCCATTACAGCTCCCTCATTTCTTCACTTGTACGATGTTCCCCGATCACGGACCCTGGATAGGAATATTTGTTGTGTACCGTATATGAATACATTAATCATTTTCAATGCGTTTTTCATACATGGCAAAGAAATGATCAACCACAAAACTCGGATTCATTCTCAAAGGCTATGCTGGAGCAACAACTTGATGACATTTGGCGTTTTTGTTTGTTCTGCAACAAGTATGAATTAACGTTATGAACTTTTTTTCTTATGGCGGTTTGCTAACACTTCCTGTGCTGCATTTAATTTTTAATGAACTCTTCATAGGTGTACTGAACTTCTGTGCAGTGGGTCGGGATTATGTGATGTTCTCCCCCAGATCCATCATGTTTCTAAACTTATTTTTTTTACACATTTATTCATTGACTGGAAATCAACTTATGTACGCTTCTCTTGTATTAGTCGAACATTCTCTGCTTTAAAATGTAAAATGAGCTATGTTAAAATTATATTTTATATCAATCGCTTGACTTGTGTCGCTAGTTCTCACAAGCTCGTTTATTAATAAGCAATTATTTATTCACAACTCAAGTGCTTGGTGGTACGTTAGCTTTTTTTATCGGCACCTCATGGGAGCACATGCACGCGATCGTACCAGATCTTGTGTCTGACTGCGCTAGCTTATTTGCTTTATTTTTTAGTATTTCCTGATATTGAAGTGAACAGCTTGGTCTGGTCGGTGATATCGAGTACGGTATGGTTGTTAATCTAAAGCTATTATAACCTAACTGTGATCAATCTTTTTAACTGTTCCTAAGATACCATATGCCTTGTATTGTTGTAGACTTTTATATTAGGATCTCTCTCAAGTTGTTGAACTCTCACACTTCGACCAAATATTTGTCGTCAATGTGTGCCCTCTGCTCAGGTTCTTCGAGGTTTTTATAAGGTTTACACTTTTATTAAATCTTTGTCTGACCTTCAAACGATTGCTTCCTTCCTTCCTTGATCTGCACAGTTCCGGTTCAGCCGAGATTAAGATTCATTTAAAATTCACCCCAGATTATCCAACCTTTAATATTAACTTTATTTCCACTGTTAACCTCGTTACAAATCGCATTAAACAATACTGCAGAATATGGGCATATTTAATTTTTTAGAATCTTTCTCTTACATTGAGCGCCCTTGTTTCTTGAATATCTTGGCGCTTTATATTTAAAAGATCATGAGGCTTTTTGGCAAATTCTATAGGTATTAAGAGAGCATGAAATGAAGAGTTCATCACGGGCGCCAGAAAACGACGTGATTGCAGCAACATTTATTTGACAAAGTACACACAGATCGTCGAGCAGCTGGTCACACTGCACGAACAGCTCGACTTAACATGAATGTTTTGCAGTCTGTTCCTCATAACACGCGTGCTGCAACTGACAATGAGTGCATATAATGTCAACCGAATTAACTAACCACCATTCAGTTACTAAAGTTGTAAAAACACCAAATACTGGTACTTGTAGGTACATACAAACTTCTTGTGCTGTTTAAGCACACGATACATATCAGGACTTAAATTGTACGTACGGGTAATTGACTACAAATCGATTGCACACACATCAAGCGCCCAATAATAGTCATTTCAGTATAAGATGTCCACAAACAAAGTAGGTTAACGTTCCTGCTATATAGGTAGTTGAAACATTTACCGTGTTGGTACACTACTATTCATCGGAAAGATCAAGTTCCTGCTATATAGTTGAAACATTTACCGTGTTTGTACACTAATATTCATCTATGATTATAGATATTGAAAGGAAATCCGTTTTCAATGGGAAAGACTGATGCTGTCAACATAATATGGAACTAGGCCAGAAATGCCGGCGGCTTGGTAGCCGCGATACGAGCTCCGGGAACACGGGCTACTGAGGCGTGCACAAAATTATGCTTCACAAGTTTTGCTTTAGACAGAATGCAGATAAATATGAAGAATGTGGTAAGTAATTGCAGTGAAAATATTAAAATGAAATTCTGTTCGGTTATAAAAAATATAGATGGATTTAAGAACTTAAAACTACCTAACATTAACGTCACACGAGAATAATGTCATTAAACACACACAATTTATCCCTAAACATAGCTGGAATCAAGCATTGTACAGCAACATGCACACTATAAATGCCCAGGCTCTGTAAGTACAATAATTTTAAAAGCGACCGCTACTCAATACTCCAAGTTCGATATGGCCCAAATAATAGCAACCATACACAGAATAAAATCGGGCGAGGAACAACTAGCCATCAATAATAATTTTACAAAATTATTGTAAAATAATAAGTTTAGCTCCATTGCACTACACTCAATTACCAAAAGAGGATCCTGAATCAACAGACTGAAGTAAGAATTTGAAATCTTAGAAGCAAATAATCCAGTGATAATTACAACTACAAATTACGATACTGCATCTGCATACGGGAAAATTCAACACCGAATTCTTGATAATACTTGTGCAGAATCAGACGAACCTCCTTACTTATTTACAGTTGCTACCCAACACCACCGACAGCCATCTCTTCCCGTTAGCCAATTTATTGTTCAAATGTTCACGCACCTTAGTTTACAACTGACAAACTACACTTTAGTTCATATAAAGACCATTATAGGTGCAAATACGCTCCATACTCCATTTCGGTGATCAATATTGTAACTGTCGTTGCCGTTTAATAATATTAGAAACGGGCAACATAAAATCACCGACAATAGAAAGAAAATCCAGCATATAAACTTGTTAAAAATTCGAATACGAGTAAAATGATTAAATGTTAACAAATATGGCATCGAGCTTGCAAGTAAATCAATTCAATACGATATTGAATTCAGACGACATAGGTATTTATCTAACACTTTTCTCAAGACAACAATGCAAAAATTACAGGACCTGCGGAACTTTTATAACAAATTAATGTAGTTAAGAGCTTTAAGTTAGATAGTGATTAAAACAAAACGTATACATTCATTCCTAGAATATTTTATGATGAAATACACGAAAAAACCACTTGCTAATTGAAGAAAAATAATCAGTGCACTAGAATTGATAAAAATTGACACGTGCTTGAAAACCAAAAACAATGAAGTCATCTACACCACTCACTAAAAGTATCTGTTAACATTACACAAATTATTCGTAATCCAAGAGAAGTACCAGCGCAATATATCTCTTGAAATTACTTGCAGTAGAATTCAACCTCCGTGTAAGAGGTGAAGATGCGCATTTGAAATTTTCAATCGTTCGAGGGCGATAAGTTCAGCGGGCGCAATGGACTGAAAATGAGAGCAGATCAGGTAAACATATAATGCAGCTGTTTCGCTCGTAGGTCTGCAATGCATGAATCAGGGAAATGAGGTTTACAAACGTCACCCCTCGTGATTCTGCCACCAACCATTGATCTACATTCTAAAAGCATCATACAATTTTCACCAATGCCAACTGATAAAACTTCAAAGAAGAAAGATAAGTAACAGGTTGTCTTTGTTCTCACTAACCCATCGCCTGGTGAGAAAGGGCCATAAAAGATCGTTGTTACTTTAGACTTTTGTAACTAATTCTGTAAATGATATCCATTTGTAAATTTAGATCGGTCAATGTACGTAGAGTATATGCGTACTCCTTGGCAGGCGGAGGTTCATGTGCTTTACTACTACAAATCATCGAAGTAAGATTTGACTTTTATATTTGCCTAACTAGCTTCAGCTAACCCGAGAATCAGATTCAATTCCAATCATATAGCAAGAGCATCAAATAGGATAAAATCTATAAACCAAGCTAATCGTGAGAACGAATCACCAACAAACAGACGACATAGGTATTTATTTAACGCTTTTCTCAAGACAACAATGCAAAAATTACAGGACCTGCGGAACTTTAATAATAAATTAATGTAGTTAAGAGCTTTAAGTTAGATAGTGATTAAAACATAACGTATACATTCATTCCTAGAATATTTTATGATGAAATACACGAAAAAACCACTTGCTAATTGAAGAAAAATAATCAGTGCACTAGAATTGATAAAAATTGACACGCGCTTGAAAACCAAAAACAATGAAGTCATCTACACCACTCACTAAAAGTATCTGTTAACATTACACAAATTATTCGTAATCCAAGAGAAGTACCAGCGCAATATATCTCTTGAAATTACTTGCAGTAGAATTCAACCTCCGTGTAAGAGGTGAAGATGCGCATTTGAAATTTTCAATCGTTCGAGGGCGATAAGTTCAGCGGGCGCAATGGACTGAAAATGAGAGCAGATCAGGTAAACATATAATGCAGCTGCTTCGCTCGTAGGTCTGCAATGCATGAATCAGGGAAATGAGGTTTACAAACGTCACCCCTCGTGATTCTGCCACCAACCATTGATCTACATTCTAAAAGCATCATACAATTTTCACCAATGCCAACTGATAAAACTTCAAAGAAGAAAGATAAGTAACAGGTTGTCTTTGTTCTCACTAACCCATCGCCTGGTGAGAAAGGGCCATAAAAGATCGTTGTTACTTTAGACTTTTGTAACTAATTCTGTAAATGATATCCATTTGTAAATTTAGATCGGTCAATGTACGTAGAGTATATGCGTACTCCTTGGCAGGCGGAGGTTCATGTGCTTTACTACTACAAATCATCGAAGTAAGATTTGACTTGAATTTTTACCTAAACTAACTTCAGCTAACCCGAGAATCAGATTCAATTCCAATCATATAGCAAGAGCATCAAATAGGATAAAATCTATAAACCAAGCTAATCGTGAGAACGAATCACCAACAATAACTGCCTTCTAGCATATTTTACTGAAGACTAAACTTTGATATACGAAATTGTTGACCAAAATGAATAAAAGAGAATGAGCTTTTCACGTTAGGCAGTTTTTGTGCTCAGCCTGTGTTAATGTGAGAGTTTTTCTGAGCCGACGATGTATGTAAGTGCCGTAGCAATGGGACTCTCATTTAACATCCTTTTCTACAGTTGGCATGTAGTTCACTGTGGCAAGATGGCTAAGGTTGTCAGTGGTTAATTGCTCAGTGGAGGGCTCATGCGGAACTGATTGGTAATTTATTGACGGCAGAGAAACAATCTAGATGTCAGAAGATTCATGCATATCAGGCGTGACATTAGTTGATGGCAGCAAAGTTGAGAGATTAGTTGACACTGACAGTGCGGAAATAGCATTTCTTGACGGAATGTTATTACCAATTTTGTACATTAGATGGTGTCATCTTCACACATTTGTAGAGAAGCATTACAATTTTCATCAATGTATGCAACTGAGCGCATGCTTTCCAATGCCTTCACAGCACTAAGAAAACTTAGCTTCATCTTGGTTGGAGTTGGCACTAGGGGACCTGGGCTCAGATAAAAGGCTACAAGCTAAACTTGAATCAACCACTGGCTTGGTTGAAACTGAATGTGAAGTTAGACCTCCTTCCAAAATGCCCAATTGCTGGGTTTTTCTTTCTGAAATTTTCTCGTCAGCAGAATCGGTGGCTGCAATATTTATTTTTGCGATATCATTATCAACCGAACTTTCACTACCTGGCCGCGCTGGAAGTGTTTCTGCATCATTTTTTGGCGATTCCATGCCTGAATCAGTCTTCAAGGACTCAGTGCCCCTGTCTGTTTTTGCAGTCTCATTCGCTGTATCAGTTTGTATAGACTTGATATCTTCATCCGTTTTTGTGGTTTTGATGCCAAAATCTATTTTTGTTGCCTCGAAATTCACATCAGTTGTTGCCGTTTTTATGGCCACATCTGTTTTGGCTTTCTCTATTTCTATATCTCCATCAACTTTGACTGCTTTGACGTCTTCATTTGCTTTAGGAATACCACCAACTTCATCAAATTTGCAAAAGTCAACAATTTCAGTTTTAGGAGTTCCACTAACTGCATCAGTCTTGGGAGTACCACTAACTGCATCAGTCTTTGGAGTTCCACTAACTGCATCAGTCTTATTGGAGTTCCACTAGCTGCATCAGTCTTTGGAGTTCCACTAACTGCATCAGTTTTAGGAGTTGCACTAACTGCATCAGTTCTAGGAGTTGCACTAACTGCATCAGTTTTAGGAGTTGCACTAACTGCATCAGTTTTCAGTGATTCGTAGACTGCGTCAGGCTTGGAAATTTTGTGGAGAGTATTTGTCACTTTGCTGGTAACTTCTGCTTTCAATGACACAGGACCTGCATCAGTATTAGCAATATCATTGATATCTCCAATTTTTGCTGGTTCTCCGGTAGTAGCTTCAGTTTTTCTCATTCTGCTGAGAACTTCAGTTTCTGCAGACTCACCAACAGCTTTAGTTTTTGCAGGTTCACCAAAAGTTTCAGCTTTTGTCCTCTCATTAGTAACCCCAGTTTTTGCAGAATAAACAACAGCTCCTTCATTTGTTTCCTCACTCGCAATTTCAGATTTTGCTGATTTAGAACCTGCATCATTTTCAGCCACTTTGGTGATAACTCCAGTTTTTTTAGAATTTCCAACAGTTTCAGTTTTTGTCATCTTGCTGCTAAGAGCACTTTTTTCCGAATCGACAGTTTCAGATTTTGTTACCTTGGTGGTGATTTCAGTTTTTAGAGACTCGTCGACAGCTTCGGTTTTTGTCACCTCACTGATAGCTTCATCAATTTTAGGCTTTTCCACGCCATCATTTTTTGGCTGATCGCACAACGCAATCATTTCTGTTGGCTTGCCAACGACTTCCATTTTTGCTGACATAACCAAAGCTTCTGCTTCAGTTAGTTTGGAGTCTGGCGCGATTTCAATTTTTTGAGGATTGATGGTCTGAAGGTCATTTGATCGTACAGGATTTAGAACAATATTTTCAGTTGTTGAACTCCCTTCAGCATGAATTGGGATTTTCATAATTTGCTTACAATCAGGAGATATTGTGTTAGCGTTCAACATTCTATCTTCGGCGTTAGTAGTAGCACTGTCACGCAACTCGCAATGTTCAACTTTTTGGCGTTTGACACAGTTTTCTTTTGTTGATACGGACCGCAATGGTGAACTAGATGCTACTGTACCATTTCCTAGGTGTCCATCAATAACTTCAGCTCCAGGTGATGAAACTTCGCCATTGTTGTGGGTTAAACTTTTGGAATCGATCTTTGATAATGGATTGGTACCTTCCTCCTGGACAGCGCTCTCCTCTTCCACATCTAGTCTTCTTTTCCCACCAACATGAGAACCATGGCACGCAACAACGTCCAGGTTCGACACGGATTTTAATGACGGGGAATTTTCATTGATTTCAGGTGAAGCATAATTGCTCTTAGTATCAGTTTCTACGTGCTCTGTTTTAGTGTCAAGTTTTTCCGAAATTTGACTGTCATCTTCATCTACATTGACTTTAGACCTTGACCGTCTTTTTCTCTTAGGTGGCATAACAAAGTCGGTTACAGATGAACGTTTCCTGTACCTCTGATTTCGAGCACTGAGAGTCTCATCTTGAGATGAAGACTCTTCAGTTTTTTCTTTCACCTCAGCTTTGATAGGACTCCTTCTTTTCTTTCGATCAACTTTCGGTGTTCTCGCACACTTCTTCCCGGTGTTCTTCATGTTAATGATTGCTTTTTTTCGGCGCACTTTCTCAATGAGATCTTTATCATCAAACCAGGTGTCTGGAATTGTCCATTCAATTAGTTCAGACTCGGCGACTTTGGTGAGCTTGCTCTTGAGGGCTCGTGTGATGAGCACAGGGTCTTGCTCCATGCTGTACTCCGCGCATGGTATGTTAAGAAGAGATAAGAGTTCTTGCATCACGTCATCCACGTAACCGTTCACTATTATGTCCGCAATCTTGTCCTGAAACACGCCAAAATAATCAATGCTTATTTTCAAAATTAACAAATAAGACCGATTCCTGCCTTAAAATATTAAATCAGTTTGGCATTAGTACAGCGTTATATCAATCATTGTGATTCAGTGATAACAGCTTTAACTTTTGCACGCAAAACAAGTAAACAAAATTGGAACATTACTGTATAATAGATGCGTGACATGATATTGACTACTGATTATAGCTGCGTGACTTACCTATAATTAATATACAAAACATGAATCGGTGTTAAGGTACGTATAAGAATAAAGGCTTCGATCACAAAATTTGAAGGAACACATCGTGAGAGCGAGAGTTTACGAGCACGCTGGGGCAAGAAAATATTGTATCTGGCACGAAAAGAGAATGTCTAGTAACGAAGAAAGGCCCAGAGCAGCTTGGAAATCTTTAAACAGTCCAGCTCATTAGAAGAAAGTCAGCACCAGGAGCATCTAATAGAATGCCGCCAAAAATCTTAAGCATTACGGGAGTTACAATTGTAGATTGCAAAGAAGAATGCACCAACAGGCGACTGCGAGACCATCTATTGTACCAATTAACTGACAGCAAAACAATAAAGTTCCGTTAAGTGACGGAATACAACAAATTTTGGTCAATCAAAGAGGAGCGAACAGTTTTAATTGGCTGAAGAAAAGAAGCCAAATACGACATCAGTACACCTTTCATGGACTGCGTCACTGATCATTGTCTTCCATTAAGGAGGTAAGAGTGATCTGATGTAAAGTGTTTCATTGCAAACCTCTCTTTTACTGTTATTCTGGTGGCCTGATCACAGCAGAACGTACCGAGGAAAGCCTGTATGATATTAGTACAAATGTTGCTAAATAAAAATTCCGTTCAGTGACAATATTACAGAGGAGAACGTTTGTTTTAAATCAATATGCTGAAGTAATTTAGAAGTGATAAGACGTTGTTATTATTTGTTACGCAGAAGTAACTACTGCAAATGCATGGTTATCAGGTTGTCAAGCTCCTGACAAACATTATTACACATCTTCCCCTCGCCTAATATAAATACGCGAATAAGACTCAGTTGGATTGCCATGCTGCAACCTCCTTAAACGACATAAGTATTTGAGATGAATTATTCAGTTACACACTGTAAAAAGATATTAAAAAAGCAGAAACCTACCAGACTTACGTAGTATATGATGAGACTTAGCTTGAACAACTCACGTGTTTGGTATGGCATCGACCGCATCAATAACTCACGTGTTTGGTATGGCCTTCACTGCAGCAACAACTCACGTGTTTGATATGGCCTCTACTGCAGCAACAACTCACGTGTTTGGTATGGCCTCTACTGCAGCAACAACTCACGTGTTTGGTATGGCCTCTACTGCAGCAACAACTCACGTGTTTGGTATGGCCTCTACTGCAGTAACAACTCACATGTTTGGTATGGCATCTACTGCAGCAACAACTCACGTGTTTGATATGGCCTCTACTGCATCAACAACTCACGTGTTTGGTATGGCCTCTACAGCTTGAACAACTCACGTGTTTGGTAGGGGCTTTACTGCAGCAACAACTCACGTGTTTGATATGGCATCGACCGCATCCATAACTCACGTGTTTGGTAGGCTGCAGGTTGCATATGACGAGTTTGCCGTCGCTCTGCTTCGCCAGCGTGGGCAACACGCCGCTGGGGATGATCTGCAGGGTCGTGCCGAGACACACGCTCAGGTCGGAACCACTGTGAGGACAGAATTTAATTGGTATCAATTGAATACTTATGTCGCCCTTTGAATATCAGATTTAGCAAAAATTCATCAGTCCTCTCTATTTTTTGGAATTATAAACGATTGCCAAGTTCAGAACAATAAAATAGTATTAATGCTGTATGCATTAATTCTTTGTTTGGTGCTCTAGTTTTCACACAAGAGTTCTTAAAATAATTTAATATCAAACCTGACTTCAAAAATCACAACATATATCATAAAAATACCTAATGCTTTTGTGTTATGTTTAAAACCATTATATACAGTTCTTAATCATACACTTTTTCCTCCCATTCCCATCAAAAATTTTCCACTATGAATCCTTGAAGGAAGTGGCATGTCCATTCTTCGTGTGTAAACATGAAATTCTGCATGTATCACAACTAAGTGATACATACGTACCGTAGTATATCTTATGAATGAACAATTCAAAAATTCATAGGAGTGGATCTCAAATGAAATGCTTCTAGGCCATAGTATATCTTATGAAGGAACAAAAGAAGAATTCGTAAGGAATGGAGCCTACATGGAATGCTTATCGCCCATAGTATATCTTATGAATGAACAAAAGGATTCATAGGAGTGGAGCACACATGGAATGCTTGTCGGCCATAGAATATCTTATGAATGAACAAAAGGATTCATAGGAGTGGAGCACACATGGAATGCTTCTCAGCCAGGTTGTAGTCGAGGTGTGGCAGGTCATGCTCCCAGTCGAGGATGTTGTCATGCAGGCGTCCGCGACACTGGCGTCCGGTGTCTCTCTTGCCAGGACAGCCAACGCCCAGAGACTTCTGACCAACCGTTGACACCGCAGTGGACCGCACAAACTCCCTGTCGTGGAGAAAACTATGGTTGCAGTGCGGGCAACTAACGCGTTTTGAAAAACCATTCAATTAACTAAAACATTTAACGGTAATAACTTGGATTATTAGATTATGACGAAACCTTTAGGTCACAACGTTTGAGTTGCAAGCAACTTTGAGAGATGAGGTAAAGAACAAGTTTTTCATAAGCGCATCTTGTTACAGGCCAGAAATGTCCACCATGTAGGTATTCTGATTTCCATCCATTTCCGCGAGGGTTCGTCTACTATGAGCAAAAAGCTTCTAAAGTTTAAACAGGAGAAATTACTGTCTAATACAAACATTTCACAGCTCATCTGGAGACCAACCTTGTTCCAAAATAACCAGCACTCAGTTAGCTAGCTAGCTACCTTACGACAGTTTATACAGTATTTAGATTTTACAGGTCAGTCTTATAGGTACCGGTATTCCAAATTCCTTTTTTGTATTTTTCGAAAAACAAGGCAACCTATTAATCACGTCACAAAAGCAGTAGTTGTTAAATTGAACCGAATGCCTGTGCACTCAATGAACTCAAAAATAGGCAGGCATATACATATAAAACTTCCAGTCAAAATAAATTCACTGAAAATCCTTCATGGTGTTGAGAGCTGCAAGCAAGTCCCACCTCTTGCATACTGAGCACTTGTCCAGGTACATGTTGCCGTGCAGCTCTGCCATCTTACGGCGTGGAAACCCAGACCGCAGATGTAAGCCATCAATGTTTTGTGTCACCAAGTACTGAATGAGGCCTGGCGAGCAGAAATAAATCAATAAAACATCATGTTAAAATAGGTAAAAAATATTTGATAACAAAATGTTGGCACTTTAGAACCAGACAGTGCCCAAGAGGATAACTTGTTAGGAAATATTGCCTAAAAATTTTTTTCCAGTAAACCATATAAAAAATTGATGAAAATACTCTCAACAGTATGGTTGAACTACATAGCCTGAAAAATTGTAACGTTCAAGTTAATTCAAAAATTGATCAAGATCCATACATATGTACCTAATGTACTGCAGGTACCGTACGGTATGACTGTAGTAATTAGCAATATGACTTCATCACGGTCAATATATTGTTAGGTGGGCTGAATACATTCAAGGTTTCAAATTCTATGAATTACCGTATATTCTAATGAAAACAATGATCAAGGTTTATATTTTATTTGGAGAATAACATTTAACTCTGCATACTTTCTCTATAAAAGAACTAGATGCTCATTCTGAAGACTAGCTCTCAAAAGGCAGTACAGCTTCCAACTATTCTCACCGGCTTTCCAACAGACCAATCATTTAATTTGCTCCAATAACTATCTTTAAAATCTATTAAAGAGTAATAGAACATTAAACAAAAATTCTCATGTATCATTATTTCTGCTTTTCATCAACAAATCACCTTATGATGTTTATTTCTATCAAAACTAGATTTCTCATAAACAAACCACTTTCTTTCCCAAGGCATAAACAAACCAGTTTCTGCATGCTTACCAGCTTTTTCAAGCGCCACCAAAGCCATGTGTGTGTAAGTGGGCCGAGCATCATCAAAAGAGACGTTTATCAGGTCGTAAACGAGGTCATAAACGCCGGAGTGACTTTGGCCATCGTTTATGTTCCCGCTTTTGTTTGCAAAACAAAATAAAAAACGCGGCCGAAGTCACCCCGGCGGCCGAAGTACACCCGCGGCCGAAGTCACCCCGGCGGCCGAAGTCACCCCAGTTGACATTAGATGCTTGTTCTGAAGACTAGCTCTCAAAAGGCAGTACAGCTTCCAACTATTCTCACCGGCTTTCCAACAGACCAATCATTTAATTTGATCCAATAACTATCTTTAAAATATATTAAAGAGTAATAAAACATTAAACAAAAATTTTCATGTACATCACTATTTTTACTTTTCTTTCAAGTATTTTGATTTCCATCCATTCCCGCAAGGGCTCGTCTTTGATTAACAAATTATGCACCAAGAACAAAAAGCTTCCAAAATTTTTTAACAGGAGAAATTACTGTCTAATACAAACATTTCACAGCTCATCTGGAGATGTGTTTAGTAAGTTACAATCACCTACTGACATTTATTTCTACCAAAACTAGATTTCTCATAAACAAACCACTTTCTTCCCAAGGCTAGAGCTTACCAGCTTTTTCAAGCGCCACCAAAGCCATGTGCGTGTAAGTCGGCCGAGCATCATCAAAAGAGACGTTTATCTCAGGCTTGAGGCCCTTCTTCTCAAGTGTCCACACACCATTAGGGCCTCTGGAAGCAGATGCAACAGGTAAATTCTGAGAACTGGAAGCTCTTAACATCAAGTAAATTTAATTTCAAATTGAGCTCCCTTACAAGTTTGCGCTAAAATTTTAATTGCAAGCACAAATCAAAAAACTTGAAAAACCAAAAATTATACTATTGCTGAAGGTAAATGGAGACCTGCAGATTAAAATTCTCAAGGGCACAAACCTAATTTCTTATTCAAGTTTTGGGGAGATGTAGGTACCTATATTACACTGATTCAGTACTCAGTACTGATACTGAGGTGAAAATTCCAACATAAAAGGCCACTGTTACAATTTGTATAATCCAACAATAAATAAAGATTTTCACACTGTTCAAAGCAAATACAATATAGGAACAGCAATGTTTCAAACAACAAACAACCACAGAAGAACATAGGAACAGAACAGCAGAGTTTCAAACAGCAGCAATGTGCATGTCACCAAAGAGCATCTTATTTCTCAAGTTACCGGTATACCATAAGTTCAATAACTTGCAACAGTTAATTTAACTTCAAATTTAGGTTAAACATACGTATACCTATGTTACAAATTTTTAGCTGAGAATGATGATTGCCAGAAGATTTGGTGTATTGAATGTATAGGTATATGATATGAATGAAAAGCATGAGTACCTAGGTATGTAATATATAGGTATGGTATACAGTACCGGTATACGTAGGTATGATTTCAATGAATGGCATGAGTAGGTACCTATATAATATATATGAGATACTTCATTACCTGAAGTCAGGAATGCCAGCTGATGTACTGATACCAGCACCAGTATGGAAAACTGTGTGTCTGGATGCCTTCATGAGTGCTGCAAGTTCAGCCACCTTCTGAGACAATTCTTCTTTGCCAGCAAAACGCTGAAAAACATTATATATCAAGAACCAATTTAGGAAAATATGAGAGGTCATTTCGAGAAATAGAATTAATATGAACAAGAATTTCATAAATAGCATAAAATTTTATTATGCTGTACGATAGACGGATAGAGACCAAAAATAGAGATATTATGAAAAAGTCCCCAAATTAACTTTCTTCACAATCCCAAGTGGCAATGAATATAATAACAAGAAAATAAGGCACCAAAAATAAAGCATAAAAAACTTTTTAGCATTAAGTAAAAACCATTAAAAAGCAATTATATATCAAGTTTGGCTTAAAGTTATAAGGACCCAATAGAAGATACTTTTAAAAAATTTCAAAATTAGACAAAATATCATCTTAGTAGGTATAGTTGCTTCAAGATATTACACATAAATGAGGTTTGGATAATAATTAGGTGAAAAGACTTCATTAATAAATGTCTTTGATTAGTAAATGATTACATAATTCAAGACTAACCAATACAAATAATTTGATTTTATATGTTAACTTTTTCCACACTCACCTCAGGCATTCCCACTTGTCCCTTGTCAGGATAGGGGCTGAGCCCCTCAGCATAGTTGCATGACATGGTTTACATAGAATCACCAAGTTAGTCTGTAGAATAGCCTGTGGATGAATACAAAATATGGTCAAAATGAGATTTATGTTTTACAATGGCTATTCCCTACCAATCCATTACGGCTAAAAAATGTTATTCGTCTTATTTCTTTCTGACAAAAGGCGGCCTGATGTCAACTCTTTTAGGTACAATCATAACAATGGGTTTTGACCTTATGACCAATGACCATCAGAGATGTTATTGATCAGTTGTGTGAGGCACCAGTGACGTGATTGTATTGATTTCATTATTGGCAGATAGTGTTAGTAGGGGTAAACGCACCATATTCCGACATCTTATGACCTTATGATGAGTTTAGGACGTCGCAGTCCACGGTCACGCTGATGCGCAACCTTTGTCGTCCTCCGTCTCCGAGTCGTCGTCGGATGTAACGTTGGACGTGTTCCGTCTAATGTTTTAAAATTAACTAACCGTTCGTAGTCGCGAAAACTTCGTGGGTAATTCCAATATTTCTCAACTTTTTCCTTTATATTAAGCTTTGTCTTAGTTCCACGCATGCATAGATGGTTGAAATAGTGACGTCATACTATTGCACGCCAGATTTACACAAAACACTAGGTCTGGCAGGAAAATGTTAAGATCCTCAGAGCAAAAGTTGATGTCACCCAGTGAGAACATCAAAAAACGTGTCAAAGTTGATAGTTGACCTTGCTCTACCAAATAGTGATAAACTGTTTGTGTAAAAAGAATATTATGGTTCGATACTTTTTAGTAAGTCTGTGAATATATTAGGAATCCTTTAAGTATATGTGTATTTGCTGATTTTAAGTGGTTAATAAATTAATAGATGATCAAGTTAAGAGACAGTTTGAGGCACATAAAAACTAGTTCCAATACAGCTCAGAATTAGACACACAGCTCATTCCAAGCTGTGTTGTATTCCAATACAGCTCACACACGGCGTCGGAATTCCAACACAGGGCGTCGGAATTACGAATTACGGTTTTGAAGCGTTGTCGGAATTAGTCACAGATAAAACGTACGTCACGATTTGACCACCTAATGGCAGCCGTGACGGGGTAACATTGACCGGCTTGGAAATTAAGTTAAAATTACCATAGGTACCTATATAAAATAATAGTGTGTTAGGTGTTGATAATGTAAATATTTTACAGAAGCATCTTCAAGTACTTCACATAAGCGACCCATGCCCCGTTTGCCCGGTTGTCCAGTAGTCCGTTTTTCCGGTTGTACAGTTGCCCGTTTGCCCGGTTGTCCAGTAGTCCGTTTTTCCGGTTGTACAGTTGCCTGGTTGCTAGTTGTCCGGTAGCCCATTTGCCTAGTTATACAGTTATCTGGTTACCCAGTTCCCCAGTTAATGGCTAAACAGTCATCCAGTAGTTGGTTAGGTTTTTGATTTAGAGTTCTCTCTTAGGTTTAAATTTTAAGTCCCTTTATAATGAAGTTTTGTATTAGAAATAAATAAAGTTGAACAAAAAAGAGAAAAACACCTGGTGGACAGGGATGGCTATAAGGGGAGTTGGGAGGCCATCTTTTATTTAACCCTTTTGAGTCTTGAAGAACCTTGAATACCTTCCCTCACTTAACCAATAAAGACGACCCATTACAATTCCAAGCTGTGTTGTATTCCAATACAGCTCACACACTGCGTCGGAATTCCAACACAGTGTGTCAGAATTACGAATTACTGTTTTAAAGCATTGTTGGAATTAGTCTCACTATATGCCTAATTTAGTCACACATAGCATCGGAATTCAGCGGTTTTGAAGATTGGAATTCTAAAGGCTTTTAAATAAATATGGTAACAGTTTATGATGTTTCATCATTGCTGGCGTGTAGTGTGGTGCTTTGAGAGTGACGTAAACGAATCAGAACTCTAGTTGCACATACTGTGATCTTTTTATTAGACTCCTGCATTTAGTATTTCTTTTTATCTGAGACGAGACAACAGGCTCTGTCCTGGTTCACAATAAAAACCAGGACAATTTTCAGTGCTCCGTAGGAATTCCGGGGCGACACGGAGACAAGATGAGCAAGACATCCCGGTTAAAATAGGTACCTTAAAATTTCCCAGAATTTATAGCCATTTTAACGAGACATAACAAGCCTTAACGAGACTAATCAATTATTGATGTGGTGTAAACTTTGGCTTACCATCATACATTCATGCAGAGCTGGCAGCGCTAATTTGAAATGTAGCGGCCGCTACCGCTACATGCTCTAAATGTAGCGGGCGATCCCGCTACAATTGCTTATATGTAGCACCGCTACCACTACCACAAATGTAGCGGCCGCTACATGTAGTGCGCTACTGCCCACCTCTGGTAACAACAAACATGTTGACACTAGTAACAGGCTGAGGTTGACAACATTACACCAAAATATTTTGTACAGTTTTATTCTCTAATTTATATTATGTATGTATCATGCTGATTTTTAAATAATATTTAATACTATTAAGTAAAATCTAAAGGCTTTCTCTATGAATGTAGCGGTAGCGCTGTGGCAGCAAAACCTCATATCGCTACTTAAATATGTTGCGGGCGCTACCGCTACTGCTACAATTGCTTAAATGTAGCGCCGCTAACGCTACAGATACTGAAAATGTAGTGGCCGCTAGTAGTGACCGCTACCTACATGCAGTGTGCTACTGCCCACCTCTGCATTTATATAATAACTTGATAAGTACCTATCCTTTTACTATTCTGATTGTAGCTAAGCAATTGAAATGATTTTTGCTATGAATACACGTTCTGGTTTAATATGGTACCTACTTAATCTTGAGAGGCAAATAAAAATGGAAAAACACATTTTTTCAAAAATTGTGTTCTATGATGGTTTGGAGGAGGCCATTCTAGCTGTAGCTGGTGACATCGGCTGACTGGACAGACTTTGATTTGCCTCCAGCTCAATCACAGAATCAGATTCATTGATCTTGCCTTAAGCAATCTCCTTCAACAAAAAGGTTTGGAAAGAAATATCAACAACATTTTAAAATACAAGAAAATTTAAGTTTGAAAAAATATAGGTAATAATTGGATCTTCAAAAAAGAACTCAAAATACCCAGGTGTATCCTTTCTAAATAAAGTTAAACAAGCTCAAGTGTTTGATAACAATTCAGGTAACTGTGCAATTGTGAAGATTTCCTGGAGGCATAGCAAAAAATTTTACTAAAGGCAGAGATAATTTAATTGTACTAGCTTAGTATTATTAGGAATATCTTACCAGGACTCCACTCTACTGTCTACTAATTGGCCGACTAATCTAGACACTGCGTCCCTACTCCCAATGCGCTCCACAGCACCTGAACTCATTCCGAACACGTAATAAACCCGACTCATATTCGTACAGTTCCCATAAGTGCCATCGAAGCCTTAGTTAAGACTTAACATTTTTTACTCAATACCGTACTCAGCCATGCATACATCGACAGGTTTGTGGTGTTTGTCGGACCACTAATCAAGTGCCATGTCAGTTAGTCAGACAAATTTTGCTAAATCTGCAACTAACTCAATTTAACTGGTAACTGTCTGCGGCATTTGGTCCTATTAGCAATAAAGGGCTAACTTGTCATTCATCAAAGTTCAACCCATGTTTTTGAAATGATTTGTGTAATCAAAAACCTTGTTTTGTCTTAAATAATTAAGACAAACCTCGTCGCATCTCGTTATGTCTTGTTTCAAATCTGTCTGTCTTGTCCCGGTTCATAATTTACCAGGACACAAGCCATGGTCAGGAAGGTGCGGCGTGTACGCCGGAGGTTTATTTTGGGATGTACACCAGTATGCCAGGTAAGAAAGTTGCCAATATGCTTGCTAAAAATGAAAGTGTTAACCCTCACCAATGCCGCATGATTGACACGGACAGACGCACTTTACAATTGATGTGGCTGATGCCTGACCATCGTCAGACACACACATGCTTTGCGATCGATTTAGCCGATGCCCAATTATCAACACTGATGTGGGCACTTTACGATCAATGTGGCTGATGCCAGATAATTGACACAATTGCACACCTTCGTGATCAATTTAGCCGATGCCCAATGACCAACAGTGGATGCGGGCTCTCTGCAATCGATGTGGCCAATGCCTGATGTTTGACAGAGACACACTTGCTTGCTTAACGATCAATGTGACTGATGCCAAATTATTGACACAATTGCACGCCTTTGCGATCGATTTAGCAAATGCCCAATGACCAACAGCGGATGCGCACTCTCTGCGATCAATGTGGCTGATGCCTGACAATCAACAAAGACACTTGCTTTACAATCGATGTGACTGATGCCAGATTATTGACACAAACGCCCGCCTTTGTGATCAATTTAGCCGATGCCTGACGATCAACAGAGACACACTTGCTTTATGATCAATGTAATCGATGCCTAATAATTGACAGAGACGCACGTGCTATACGATAAATGTGACCAATGTCTGATGATGAATACTGACGCAGAATTTTGACAATCATTGTGGCATAACACGCAACATAACGATTTTTCACAACACAAAATATGGTAACACTAACAATGTGGTATTAACAACACAACACATTGCAATACAAAATATCACTGCACAACAGCACTGCACTCATCACAACATATCATTACACAACACATTATAACACACCCTAACATGACATCACATTATAACATAACACAATATAACAAACAATATCATAGCACAATATCATAGCAATATCATATTACAACACAACATAATGTAACAATATCACATAACTCCACCCACTGTAACACAACATAACATGGCACATTGTAATGACATATGACATGACACAAAACATTATAACATAACTAATCATGATATTACACTATATAATATGAAATAACACATAACATAGAACAACAAAACAAATTATACCACAACATATCCTAATAAAACATTATAAGATAAGATATATGATGTGTTATGTTGCCATACTGTGCTATGTTATAATGTGTTGTGTTATGTTGTTATACTGTGCTATGTTATGATGTGTTACGTTGTTATAATGTGCTATG